TTTTTTTTTTTTTTGTTTTAAATTTATAAACTACATTTGTTACCTATTAATCTTTATTGCTTATTGAAGAAAAAAGGTGTTGTTATTTGTTGATACTGTTGGCAGCAACAATTTTGCATGCATTTTGAAAACTTTAATCAAATTGCTACTCTTTCTTTATTTTTTTGTTATTCATTACAAATATTTTTTGAGCTTCAAGAATTAGCTTGAAGTTTTTACCAATTGTAAAACGAAAATAAAAGAAAAAAATAAAAGGACGATGAATAAACAATAAAAGAACATAATTTTTTTTTTTTTTTACGGTCATAATGGAATAATAAATGGAACTGCTATGTTTTATACAGCTGCTGCTTCATCGATAAGTCGCTAACAACGGTGTACTTATAGGCGATGCTTTTTTTATCGCAGCACAAACTTGCCAATATAATTTTTTTTTTCCATTTCACGGTACCACTAAAAATTCTTTTCCAATTACTGACGAAAAACCAAGAACAAAATATTGAAAAAAATTTTAATTCTGATTTAGTAAAGGATAAACTTTTTTGATAAATTCTTTTCTGCTTATTCTGATATATCTTATATTTTCATGCAGTTTCAAAAAGCAATCAAATTTGTGTCACTGAAATGTTTCACAGTTGTTATAAAGTCTTATGAAATAATTATTAATAAATAGTGTATTTCTTGTCAATTTAGCCGGAAATGGATGAACGGGAATTATGTAAAACCCCATAGAAATGCTGTAAAAGATCCTAGGCAAAAATCACAGTTTTACAAAACAAGACACTCATTTGTTGTCATAAGATTAAAATAAATACAAAATAATGCTTCATAAATAATAGTGATGATAAGAAACATAAAAAATAAGGTCCAAAAATAAAGCATACTGCTCCAATGTAGTCAACTACAACGTTTTCTGCGCTGTACACAATCCTGGAATTAATTTGGAAACGAAAAAAAAGTGTCTCTATGAGATAAAAGTGTAAAGGACAGAAATAAAAAGCGAAAAAGAAAATGTAAAATAAGAATGAAAAAAGTAAGAATCTAAGATAAAAATACAAAGTAGAAAGTTAACATTGACACAAATAAAAACATAGACATAAAAAACAAAGTAAAACTGCAAAATACAAATAGAAAAATAATTATGAAATAAAAGTGAGAAATAAAAAAAAAAAGATAAGAAATGTATATAAGGCAAACTAATAAAGTAAAAACGAGAAATACAAAATAGAAATTCCGGAAGTATTAATATTAATGGAAATGAAAGTGGAATTTGAAAGCACAGACAAAATTGGAGGAACAAACTAAAGCGCAATTAAATATTAAAGTAAAGAGAGAGCGTTTGCTAAAAAAAAGGTAAAACAGAAAGAGAAAAATAGGCATATGAATAGGGAGGGGTTCAGAAATAGATGGACGGATATGAACTGATGAAAAATGTGAATAGTGAAATGAACCTTACTTTGTCACGTCGTTAGCGGTAGACCATAAGGTTACTCATCACTGGAACTGATTCACCAAATCATGTCAGTGCTCTACAAAAAAAGGTTTCTCACCATTAAAAGAAGATAAGAATTGAAAAAGCCGTATGAAACATAATATCCATAAGAAAAATCAAATATACATTAAAAAACGATTTCACTGAAAAGTTCCGTGTCATCAATTGTT